AAATCCTAATGCTTAAAATAGCAATACATTTTCTCATTCCTTTTACTTCAAAATATACATAATAATGTCATCAAATTATTACATCACACTAACAATAAAATTACGGTGAGGTCTAAAGTGGTGCCATTTTTAGTCTTTAGACTATAACTCACTAAAAATGCATATATATATGTATAACCAGAGAACTATAACTTGAATCTCTTAAAATAAATGTTTTCTACATTTAGTTATATTGTTTATATCTTTATACACTAATTTTAGGTTCTTCATTTGTTTCTATTTATTTTTATTGTAATATTTAGTTGGATTGTTCCCCTTGTCTGGTTGAACTTAAATATGGAAACATCTCAAACTTTCTGAAAAGGAATGTTTGTTAAATATCTACAGATCTCTAGCCATATATTTGCTAATCTATTATGGAACACTGATTTATAAATAAAATGAATGAACAGAGAGAGGCCTTTGGAAGGGAGGATTCCTTCCTGAGCAATCTTTATTGTGCCTTTGTTTGTTCTCTGGGACAGCTGGAGGCTGTCTCTTGACTCTTTGTCAGAGGCCAACTGCTCCAATCAGCTTCTGCATCAAAAGAATATTTGTCATATTTTTTTAGCTCAACCATGAACTTGTAGGACTACTGAAATGGCAAAAAAAAAAAAAAAAGCATATTCCACTGGTTTTGTTTTTTTTTGGTCAGTCATGGGGCTTGAACTCAAGGCCTGGGCACTGTTCCTCAAGGCTAGCTAGCACTCTACCACTTTGAACCACAGCTCCAGTTCCAGTTTTCTGGGGGTTAATTGGAGATGAGTCTCATGGGCTGGGAGCTGGTGGCTCAGGCCTCTCATCTTAACTCCTCAGGAGGCTGACATCTGAGAATCACAGTTCAAAGCTAGCCCAGTCTGGGAAGTCCATGGCACTCTTATCTCCCATAAACTCCTCAGAAAAAGGTTGAAGTGGTACTGTGGCTCAAGTGGCAGAGCACTAGCCTTGAGCACAAAGACTCTCAGGAACAGCATGCCCACCTAGAGTTGAAGCTCCAGGACTGGAAGGAGAAAAAAAAGTGTTTCATGGAATTTCTGGCCTGGACTGGCTTTGAATCATGATCCTCAAATCTTAGCCTCCTGAGTAACTAGAATTACAGGCATGAGCCACCATGTCAGATTATGCCACTGGTTTTTAGATATAATTATTAAATCTTCAAGTGGGGGTAAAAATTAACATGCCATTTTAAAATGAGTACAGAACATATTGACCAGTCACCCCTCCCTGATTCTCCCTCCTTCCATCTACATTTTTCCTTGTAATAGGTTTTTTTTAAAGTGCTATTTTGGAAAACTATTGTTTCAGAGCTTGGGAAAGAGAGAGCTCTTTAAGGAGGAGGCATATCATCAAGGGAACAAAGGAAGTCAGGAAGGCAGAAGAGAGAGCATGAGCTCCATTTAAAGTGCACAGGATAGAATCCCACAAGTCATGTTCCCCACAATATGGAGAAATAGATAGAATGAAAAAATGATCTGAGTCAATTACATGAGATGCTTAGCAATCTCCTTTGGAAACCGTGTTAAAAAAATGTAGTCATCATTCAATATATGAATACCTACTCTACCCAACAAGAAGATTCTTTTTTAATTAATTTACTTCATTGTTATTGTAGAGGTGATGTAGAGAGGGGTTACAATTGCATGAGTCAGGTAATGAGTACATTCCCTTTCGTACAGTGTCTTCTGTTCCCTCACTCTCTCCCAGTCCCTCCCTCCTGTCTCCACCCACGAGTTACAGAGTTCACTTCCATCAGTGTCCAGTGAGCTCCACTACTGCACTTTTTCACTCTTTTTTCCCTTGAGTTCTGTGTCCTCCCCCCCCCCGAAGATATACACGTGAATACACCGTATATAAGGTAAAGAAGACAGAACCATCAAAAATTAATAAAATAAAAAATAAAAAATTCTTTTGTTTCCATGTTTTGGAGTTCATTTCAGTATGTATACTATTTTATATAAATATGAAGAGGCACTTAGGCATTGCACCCCTGTGTTTGTCTCCTTTCAATCTCTGGGTATATCTAGAATCCTATATAATTTGTCATATTCCAAGGCATTTTACATCTAACTAAAAGGAAGATTCTTTATGCTATTTCTGTAGGCCACATGAACACTGCCTAAAGCTTTGGAAAGGAAAAAATAATGGCGCCCACTTATACAGGGCTTACTCTGAGCCAAGCACTGTTGCAAGTAGTTTACATATATTAATCAATGTAATCTGCCCAAATACTCTCCAAGTTAGGTCTCTGGAGTCATCTCCACTTTGCAGAATCAAAAACTGTGAAGCCTGGCTAGTGAAAGTGAGCTCTCCAAGATGAGTCAGTAGTAGAGCTGGCCTTGAACCCAGGCCATCTGGCTCCACATTGCCTTTCTCTGACCCCAATGGGGCTGAAGCCTCCTCAACCTTTGCTTCTGACATAATAGAATTTAGAGCAGTGGGAGGCAAGTAGAGGGATGATTTTTTGGGAAGGGGAAAGGAATTGTGTTCCAGAAAACTCGCAATAAATATAGCTGATTGGCTGACTGATAAGGATGGAATGGGGTTTGGAGAATTGCATACTCTCATGAAATAAACATGTGATCATGACCTTCTAATAGTGACAGCAACTATTTGAACTATCCCATTTTTCTCTTCTCCCCTTCCAGCCTTCACTTTTAGACTATGTTGTCCTGGAAGAATGTTACTTAAGGCTTTGCAAGGGCTAAATAAAATGCATAGACATAGGCAACCTGGAAAGTAGGGATACATCCATCTTTAGAAATACATTTTTTTTAATTGCTATGAGTAAAGCCTATAGCAACTTACACCAAAACCCCTCATTGTTTTTGTGGAAGAAGGAACTGAAGCCTAAAGATATCAAATAAGATTGGTCAAAAGCCACCACTTAACATCTTCTATACACGCCCAGATGAACTTCCTCAAGATGGATACATCTCTTTGTCTTGGAAGTCATGCCTATTTACAAAGAGTGGTCCCTAGACTACATTTCATAATGTAACTTAAAATGATCATCCTGATTTAAAAAAAAAAACAAAAACAAAAAAAACAAAAACAACCAGGGCTGGGAAGGTGGCTCAGTGGTAGAGCGCTTGCCTTGCATGCCTGAGGCCCTGAGTTCGATTCCTCAGCACCACATAAGCAAAAAGAAAAAAGCCGGAAGTGGTGCTGTGGCTCAAGTGGTAGAGCGCTAGCCTTGAGCTGAAGAGCTCAAGGACAGCGCCCAGGCCCAGGATTCAGGCGCCATGATTGACATAAAAAAAAGTCCTTTAAAATATCCTTCTGCCTATAAGTGGAATTGCTTAAGCCTTAAAAATGCCTTGTGTTTTCTAGAAATGGAAAGCGGTTGTAAACTCTAAAAGATTTGTGAGAGAGCTTGCTATGCTTATCTATGATTAAATCACTGGTCTGATTTCTTTTTTTTTTCTGCTGTAGTCAGAGAAATTCTTTTTCTAAATGAAATCTTATAGACAATTCCAATCTATACAACTGGATGAAGTCTGTGCTTTGATTGACAGGAGAACTTCTTGCCCTCTACCACCCACCTCTGTATTTCATACCCAGAAGACATGTCTCTAGAACCCTAAAGTCCTAGGAATGTAATGAAAAAAGCATTAGGTAAGGAGGGGCAGCTTGGCATCTGCATTAATTCGGTGTCCCTTACACCTCTTTGCCTGATAGCACAGCCAATGATGTCTTTTGGTCTTACACGGAAAGATTGGCATCATGGGATCTTAAAACTGTATTCTGCAGGCGGAAGGGGAGGAAACTTCACAAACAGCTGGAAAGGGCATGTTCAAGGCTTGACAAAATAAAAAAGGTCACACAAACACACAACAATGTCATTTCCAATTGAAAAAGCACTGTTGAGAGGTACACTACCATCAGACATGTTAAGAGGGAGTAAACTGACTTTTTTTCTTATTTCTGTGCATACTAGAAAGAAAGCAAAATAACACATACACACACCTATGTGTGGTAAAAAATTGTGGTAATAACGTAGGGTAAAGAAAAACTACTTAGCTGGGTACTTGTGGCTCACTCTTGGAATCCTAGCTACTCAGGAGGCTGAGATCCGAGGGTCATGGTTCAAAGATAGCCCAGTTAGAAAACTGTGAGATTCTTATCTCCAATGAACCACCAGAAAACTGGAGGTGGCGCTGTGGATGAAGTGGTAGAGTGCTAGCCTTGAGCCAAAGAATTGAGGCCCAGAGTTCAAGCCCCACAACTAACAAAAATAAACAAATAAATAAATATTTAAAAAAGAAAAAACTGCTTAATTCAAACCAATACTCATAACTAATCTTTTAACCATGCAATGAATTGAGAGGTCATTATACTTAGGAGTGTGCATTAAAAATAAAACTTTACTTGGCAGTATTTAAAGTAGTTTCAAGGGCTGGCAGTCCACTGGGAAAACAGCAAAGTAGCTACACATACTCATAAGTTTTCCTGCCTGCATTAGCCTCAAACTATGATCCTCCCATTCTCAGCTTCCAAGCAGCTAGGATCATAGGCATGAACTGCCAATACCCAGTGATCCAGTTAATATTTTTTAAAAGATACTTTTCTCTAATGTAGTTGTGTGCTTTCCTTACTAACTGGGGCATAAATATTTATGGAACAGAATTCATCTTTGTCTTGTGTTTGCTTCTTAAAGGTAGTGCAGTAGCAAGCAAGCAAACAAACTGTAAGTGAAAGAAATGAGGGCTAAATGAAGGCATATATATTAAGATACCCTAAAAACTGCTTTTCAAGCTGACTCTTTATAGAAGTATGATTTCTTCTAATTGTCCTATTTTGTGTAGCAAACAAATTCTAGCTTCTCTTAGGATGGCCTTACTCTGTGTCTATCCTTTAGACACAAAATATGATAAACTCAGTAAGAACTAACTAGGCAAATGGGACCAGCCTTACGTCCCAGCCCAATTCACTATTCACAGACACATGAGAGCATGACTTACCTTTATTCCCAGTGCTTCTCCAGAAATGACAGCAATTGTTACCCCATCCTTACTAGGTTTAGGGATTTCTTCACTCTTCAATTCCTGGTACTGAGGTGCCACCATCTTCTCTGAGCTTCTCAAATTAACCCACAGTTGTAAGCCATGGGCTGGCTCCTCTGAACAAGGCATTTCTGCATGGAGAATGCCCCGGCCTGCAGTCATCCACTAAAAACACCAAACCAACATGAAGAACAATGCAGCCTCGCCCCTACCAAGCCTGTGCTGGAACAATTACAACACCATCACTAAATAAGGCATCTTCTGGGCGTGTGCTCCTGTCAGACATTGTAAGAAATGGTAAACATCACTGACAATAACTGGGGCCCTTCCCAGTTTCCCAAATACTTCTTCATTTGGAATCAATGCATCACAACTGATATTCATACAAGTGCAGAACTCTTCTCTGTGATATTCCTGTCTCAGATGGAGCTCCAAGATGGGCAGTTGCAAGTAGATGGTATGTTGCAGGGTGCTCTTTAGAGATAGTATTGAAGTGAAAGAAAGCAGAACTGGGGAAGAAAGAAGCTAACTGATAATGTAGTTACAATATAGGCCTAAGTCAATCCAACAGGGAGCTTTAGAATTGGGATGAACTTCTCAGAATTTCCAGAGTTGAAGCAAGGTGGCTGAGTTTTTATATCCTGACATCAGCAAGATATTAACCACAGGCCACCCCTGAACCACACTTTGGGAAAAATTATTTTCTGACAAAGGGAGCAGTTCCCTATGGATGCAGCAGTGAGCCAGCACCATCCAGTTTGCCCAACAGCTGGAGCATACATGTGTGGATCTAAATACACATGTGGAAGCTCTCAGCATCCGCCACACTGTACCTGAATGACTTAGGCCTCTGGTTGCTTAATTCCAGTAATGAAGCCTTCTCAGCTTAGAGACATAGTTGCTGCCTTCACTGTTAAGACGAGCTTTCAAGTGTTTATCTTTTTTTTTTTTTTAAATTTTTGAGCATATTAGGGGCTAGCTCCAGATACTAACCTCCAAATCTGGGGATGAAGGGTCGGATATGGTAGACACATTTCCGACTTAGCTTGAGTTCGCCCACAGAAGATCCTCAAGTAAAGACCTATTGATGGTACTTTGTTTGGAATGGGATTCAGAAAGCAAAAGTGAGTGAGTGGGGAAAATGAGATAGGCAAGGAAGAAAGCCAAAGACTGCTGTGTTAATGAGCAGTTTACATCTGTGGACACCTGAGGTCTAGTCCCACTGGGAACCCTGGAGATACATTTGGAAATGATCGCACAGAAGAGAACGCATTTTTGATTCCAATTCAAAAAGTTCCCATAGAGATGTTAAATGCCGGGCACATCCAGGTGCTTAGTACTTGGGCTGGAGAAAGAGCATTGTCAGGGAGGGGAGCAGATCTGGAGATGGGGATCCTGTACGCACATGGAACCTGTCACCATCTGAACTCAGAAGTTGGCAAAGGGGCTAGGAAGCAAGCTATCCACATCATCTTCTAGCCTGCCCTTGTGGAGAGAAAACTTGCGAATGGAAAAATTGTACCATTGAGTTACTGGCATTCCATTGTGCTTGGTGCTGTGAAGGCTGCAAAGGATTCTATGATGGCACTGAAGGGACCAAGTCACCTTGCATGAGGTGATCTAAAGTTGAGACCCAGAGAGAGTAAGAACTGACTAGGAGAAGAGGAAAGGGGAAAGGATCCACCCAAAGGCTGCAGCAGCATGCGAAAAAGGAGTCAAGAACCTAAAAGAAAACTAGTACAGATTTTTAGAGGTTTCTTTCCTTCATGAAATATAAATCGATGGCTCATTTCATTCAATAAGGTTGATTAAACCTTCAAATGTCGAAGTCTGGGTCTATGGTTTTTCTGTCCTGTGTTCCTCAAACACATTCTGACATTTTAAAGCATTGTTTGGTTTCATTAACAGTTCATCACTCTGTATTGTCAATGTCTAGTTAACCTTGTAGATACAATACAGTTTGTGAATGCCTGTCTTAAAATGACCTATAAATTTAATTTGGGGGTGGTAGTAGGGTTATCTTTTCATCCTTACCATTTACGAATTCCGAAGTCATGGGTATCTTTTTATTTTTTTAAATCACTATCTCTTCATTTTAAAAATGATGTAAAAATAATAGTTACCTCAAAAACATCACATATAATGCTACAAAAACTGAACAATATTAAACCTTCATTGTCCTAATCAAATGTGAGTGAATTTTTGTTTGTTGTGTGTTTTGAAATAGGGTTTGTTATGCAGCCAGGACGGCCTCTAACTCAAAATCCTCCTGCCTCAGCCTCCTGGGTGCAAGATAATAAGTAGTTAATTAGCTTAAATGTAGCTGAGAGGGCTAGAAAGATTAAGACTGAAATAGTCCCTGAATTTGGCAATTGGGAAATCAAAAATGGTCATTACCTGGACAGTTTCAGGAAAGGTTTAGAGGAAGAGTGCTAGTTGAGTACCAGTGGCTCATGACTCTAATCCTAGTGACTCAGGAAGCTGAGATTTGAGGATGGAGGTTCAAAGCCAGCCTGGGCAGGAGAGACCACAAGATTCTTATCTCCAATTGACTACCAAAAAGCCAGATGTGGAGCTGTGACTCAAGTGGTAGAGCACTATCCTTGAGTACCCGGGAGGAACAGCACCAGGGTCAGCACTCAGACCCTGAGTTCAAGCCCCAGGACCAGCACACACACACACAAAAAAAAAAAAAAAAAAAAAAGAAAGAAGAAGAGAAGGAGGCATGCTAAGGGACTGAGTAGAAAAAAAAATAGAAAAAAAGAGGTGAGACAGTCATTTGTGATCATTGTTTTAAGAAAGATAGGAAAAAAATAGGTGGAAGCTAAGAAATGATAGAAATGTCATAGAAAGCAAGAAAGATAAGGAGTACACCTGGCCTGAACCAATTTCCAGGCTGAGTACAAAATTCCACAGAAAGGAGAAGTCGAAGATATAATATAGAGAGGGGGAAAGGGTGAATGCACTAGAAATGGATGGGGTCAAGCACACACACACCCAAAGACTATTAACTCATCAACCTTTCCCTGTCCAAGGCCATACCTGTAGGTCTCCTGGGTTCATTTTACCAACATGTCCACAGAAGTCTTCGTGGGCCATACTCCCTCCTTCCAGAAGGTAAGATACCTTTACAAAACAAACCAAAGAAAAAGTTGGCCCTTTGTCCATAGACTCAGATTATTTAGGATTTTTAAACTGAAGATTTATATGTATTTCTTCGAATTTGAGTATGACCTCTTTTCATGGTTTGTGACATATTTTCTTTCATTTCAGGTTGCTTTGCCAAAATAGGCAAAAGACAGAAACAGACATTTTTTTCCCGAAAAACAGACAAACAAATGACCAATGGTTGCAGGAATAAATGCTAACCTCACTAATCTCAGATAAATGCAAATCAAAACGACACTGTAGCTGAGTGCTGGCAGCTCACAGCTGTAATCCTAGCTACTTAGGAAACTGACATCTGAGGATCGCAGTTCAAAGCCAGCCCTAGCAGGAAAGTCCTGTAAAACTCATCTCCAATGAACCACCAGAAAACTGTGACTGGAGCTGTGGTTCAAAGTGGTAGAGTGCTAGCCTTGAGCAAAAGAGCTCAGAGACAGCCTTGAGGTCAAGCCCCATGACCGACCTCCCCCTCCCAACCCCCCCACCCCCCCCCTGCAAAAAAAAGTAATGTAATAATCCCCTCACTCTTGTTAGGATGAATCTTATCAAAAAGTCAAATACAACAAATATTTATGAGGACATAGAGGAAAAAGAATCCTTATACACCATGGTGGGAATGTAAATTAATATAGCCACCATGGAAATTAGTATGGAGTTTTCTCAAAAAAAAACAAACACCTAAAAGTCAACATACAACAGAGATACCTGTACACACATATTTTTTCTTTTTATCGGCTGTGGGGCCTGAACTCTGGGCCTGGGCGCTGTCCCTCAGCTCTTCAGCTCAAGGCTAGCGCTCTACCTCTTGAGCCACAGCGCCACTTCCGGCTTTTTCTGCTTATGTGGTTCTGAGGAATTGAACCCAGGGCCTCATGCGTGCAAGGCAAGCGCTCTACCACTGAGCCACCTTCCCAGCCTTCACACACATTTATAGATGTGCTAGTAACAAAAGCTACACTATGTCTTTTATTTGCCAGTCCTAGGGCTTGAACTCAGAACCTGGGTGCTGTTCCTGATCCTCATTGTGCTCAAGACTAGCACTCTACCATTTGAGATGCAGAACCATTTCTGGCTTTTTCTAAGTAGTCTATTGGAGATGACTCTTACGGATTTTCCTGCCTGGGCTGGCATCAAACATATCCCAGTCTCCTGAGTAGCTAGGATTATAGGCATGAGCCACCAGTACCTGGCTTAGATGTCTTTTTTTTTTAAAAGCAGTATATCGGAAGTGGCGCTGTAGCTCAAGTGGTAGAGCGCTCGCCTTGAGCTGAAGAGCTGAGGGACAGCGCCCAGGCCCAGAGTTCAAGCCCCACGACCGACAAAAAAAAAAAAAAAAGAAATTAAAAGCAGTATATCTTGCCATTGTTATGAGTATGAATAAAGCTAGAGGACACGTGTTAAATGAAATAATGCAACAACAAAAAGACAAATACAACTTGATGCTGGTGGCTCAAACTACTTAGGAAACTGAGGTCCATAGGATCATGATACAAAGCCAGAAGAGGCAGAAAATATTCTCAAGACTCCAAAGTAATCAGTAAAATGCTAGGCTGGAGGCATGTTGATGATATATGGCAGATGAATTCATAGAAATTAAAGTTAACTTTTCCAAATGTATGTCCATACTAAATCTAAAACTGAATGAAGTTTCATGCTGTCCAATCCACTTGACACTAGCCATATGAAGCTGCTCAACTTTTAATTACAATTAAATAGAAGTTAACTTCAGCTTCTCAGGTGCATCAACCACATTTTTTTATGTCAGTCTTGGGGTTTGAACTCATGGCCTGGGCACTGTCCCTGAGTGTTTTTTTTTTTTTTGCTCAAGGCTAACACTGTACCACTTGAGCCATAGCTCCACTTTTGAGTTTTGGTTGTTAATTGGAGATAAGAGTCTCACAGACTTTCCTGCCCACAGTAGCTTTAAACCACAATCCTTGAATCTCAGCCTCCTGAGAAGCCAGGATTATAGGCATGAGCGACACCAGTAGTCCCCAGCCACACATCAAGCATATTTAGGGGATTCAGTAGCCCCATGTAAATAATGACTACCATAATGGAGAGCACAGATTATAGAAAATTTTCTTTCTTTAGAGAAACTGCTTTTTGACAGTGTGGTCTGCATAAATGAAACTGAAAGTGGGCAGTTAGTGATGGTAGAAATGAGTAGAAAACTTTAAAATGCAGAGGAAAAATCCATCCTCTCAGAGAAAAAATCAAGTGACTCAACATTTAAGACTATTATGATTATCATAGAAGACAAGAATAAAAGAAACATCAAATCTGAGCCAGGCAGTGATGGCTTGCACCTGTAATCCTAGCTACTCAAGAGGCTGAGATCTGAGAATCGGGGTCTGAAGCCAGCCAGGGCAGGAAAGTGCACAAGATTCATTTCCAATTAACCACCAGAAAACTGGAAGTGGTAGAGTGGTAGCTCTGAACAAAAAACCTTAGGACAGCACCTAAGCCTTGAGTTGAAGCGCCAAGTCCGACAAAAAAAAAAAAAAAAAAAAAAAAAGGAAGAAAAGAAAGAAGAAAGAAATACCAAATCACAGAAAGTTTAATTACCTCATTGAGCTCATAAGCTTATTATGTGAAATATGTAATTTGCCACTAGAAGCTTAAAATGCTTGTGCATCAGGATAAGAACCTTTCTTTATTCAATCTATTCAGGTTTCTTTCAGTTTTGTATAAATTTGCAAAATTCATCTGTTACCTCTACAAGAATTATCAATCAGCCTAAACAGTTCTGAGAGGCATATACAAAACGATGTTTATCTCCAAACCACGTGTGGCTCTTCACCTTATGCTTAAGGGTGCCAATTTCTAATGTTTTCATTATTGCATGAATTTTTTGCATACTTCGGCTATCACAATGTTTTCTTTAAAGTTGAATGTGCCTATCTTTCTTAATCTTAAGAGCTTCTACTTCAGAATTTAATGCAACATTAAATGAGTGAACCAGAAAATACAATCTATGATTAAGATCCCAGCATCTATTATTAGGCAGCCAAGCTTAATTTTCACTAAAATACATTAAATTAAATGTAACATTTTAAATCAGTAATTATTTTAAAAGAATGTACAATGCTTTTTATCAGCTTCCTAAGCTAACAACTTTTTCAAATTCCCTAAATCACAACTGTCTAAACCATAAAAGAGTAAGATTTCTGTACCCTTTGTCTTGTACATCAGTCTATCAGATTTGGGGACAGGAGAGGAAGACAGAAAAGGTGTGGCCAGGGTGAACCAATTAAGCAGCGATATACACTAGACACTATGTTGGAAATGAACTATACAACTTGGGGTGAAGGGGGATTGGGAGAGAATGAAGGAGTGGATGACACTGTTCAAAAGGAAATGTACTCATTACCTGTCTTACATAACTGTAACCACTCTATATAGCACCTTTACGATAATTTTTTTAATTAAAAAGGAAAAAAAGTATGTCCCAGATATAAGAGAAAATATGAAGTTCTTAGCATATATATTAGATACTATTTTGCACCCATAATCATTTTCTCCTCTACAGAAGAATCCTTCAACTATATCCAGGCCAGATTGTACCTGCTTTTGCTTTATCCTGAAGTTGCTTTTTATGTTCCTCCCCCATTGTATAACCCCTGTTTTCACTGTATTTGATGTTAGTCTAATTTGGGGAGGGGAAGGGAAAAAAACAAAATGTTTAAATAGGGATATAGGCTGACCCATTGTAACAATGAGTTGTACAAGACACTGTTGAACAATGAACTTTACAACTTAGACCGGGGGGGGGGGGGGGGAGTGTAATTGTGGAAGGGAAGGAATGGTAGGGGAAAATCAAAGGAGGAGGCAACAATGCTTGATAAGAAATGTACTCATTATCTTGCCCATGTAATTGTAACCCCTCTGTATAGTATTTTTACAATAAAAAACTTATTAAAAAATTTAACAAATTAAAAAAAGTTAGAATTAGCCAAGTGTGGTGACCCAAGCCTGTAATTCAAGGTACTTGGGAGGCAGAGATTACAGACTCTCGATTAGAGGCCAATCTGAGCAAAAAGATTTTGTGAGACTCCATCTCAACCAATGGCTGGATGCAGTAGCATGTGCCTATTATCCCAACAACACAGAAAAGCACAAATAAAAGGACTGCAGTTTTGGCCAGCCCAAGAATAAAGCAACACTCTATCTCAAAAGCAATCAACACAAAAAGGCTAGTGAAGTGGCTCAAATGGTAGAGTGCTTGCTTAGCCAGTCCAAGGTCCTGAATTCAACCCCTAGTATTGGGGAAAAAATAGAACTAGTCTTTATATGAGAATTCAAAAGGTTATCTTATAACTAATTAAATGGCAATGTGTCTTATTTTTCTATGTATTAGTGTTTGGGGAAAATAATCATAATAATCAAATAATAATGATAAATAAACAAATAAACAATAACTAATCAATTCAAAGATATAAACCCTATTATAATAATGTCAAATAATTAGAAGATAGTTGCATCAATAATATCATCTTATAAAATTGCTGAACAAATATTCATCAAGGTCCTACAATGTCCTAAGTACCACACTTGGTGATTAAAAATAAAAAAGTCTTTATAGCCGGGCGCTGGTAACTCACGCCTATAGTCTTAGCTACTCAGGAGGCTGAGATCTGAGGATCATGGTTCAAAGCCAGCCAGGGCAGCAAAGTCCGTGAGACTCTTATCTCCAATAAACCACCAGAAAACTGGAGTGGCGCTGTGGTTCAAGCGGTAGCGCACTTGCCTTGAGCTGAAGAGCTGAGTGACAGTGATCAAGCCCAGAGTTCAAGCCCCATGACTGACAAAAAAAAAAGTCTTCATAAAGCTTATAATCTCTTGGGAAAGACAGGTAGTAAAAAAGAAGTAATTTTATTGAGGGTAGTTATGGTCAGAATAGAAATAAAGCACTTAGGATCCAATACAAAGCTTAAAACTTTAAAGGGGCACATAGAAAG